TTTGTCTTCTGAAAACCCCCTAACTGGGGTAGACAGCCAGCTCTGCATTGTCCTCAAGGGTTTTGAACTGGAAGGGTCCTTTTAGTCAATGTCCCTTCTAAGCACCGTGAAGGAGACAATGCATTCACAAAACCCCTGTCCCTGTACAGCAGGCCTCACATCCTTGTTCCAGTCCCCAACACACCTGATGCTTCCTGCTGTCAGGACCAAGCAGGGCTTCATACATCCCTGGACTAGAGACACACAAGCACAGGGGCCCATTGTCTTACACCTGGACAGAACCACGGCAGAGTATAGATACGAATGCTTACAGGCAAACTCCCCCCTACCTCTCTTCCTCCCTTCCCTCTCTATTTTCCTTCCTTGTCCTTTCTCCCTCTCTCCCCCTCCTTTTGCTATATAAACCCCAAACCTTTCCCAGGTTACTGTTACAACTCTTTCCTACTCTTCTTGCTTCTAGACTTGTTCATCTACAGTCCATTGTGAAGAAAAAGGCTAGAAGAACCTGGTCAAACCAGTTAGATCACATCCATCTTTTGTCCCTAACTCTCCAAAGGGTACCCGCTTCTACATATGTACATGTTCTGCCGATGGGCACAGGCTGATGCAACTGGACTCTTGGGTTTTAGGGTTGTTAGAGGCTAGCCTGGGTTCAATCATCTGTCCTCAATAAGCAGCAAAAGATTTACTCAATGTGCCCACATTTGAAAGAGAAGCAAATAAAGAGGTCCAGTGACACTCCCTGGGGGTGAGGAGAGAGCCCGTCATCTTCAGCATCCCAGCATGAGATTCAGGTTTACATAGAGGCTCAGAGGTATGCAAATCTCAGCAGTTCTGGTCAAAGGTTGGCTCTGCTCATCTTTTACCCTTTGTTGTCTCCCTGAAAGGTGGACGAACAAGTTGTCAGAACTGTGTGCCATCTCTTCCCGGGAGACTGGTTCCCTGTCTGTGTGACCCCAGGGCCCCAGCCTTTTCCTTCCCCAGTATGCGACTCCTGGGGAAATTCCAGTTCCTTGTAGTCTATTGTCTCAGTAGTCTGGTTTGTAAAGGGAGTGGCACACTGTCATTCTTTATGATATCTTTGTTTCTTCCCAGACTATTGTGCCATGTTTCCTCCTTTTCTTTCTGCCCTGTGGCCTTCGCTGTTTCCCAAGCACTCAGGTCATCTCATGGCCTTTTGTACTGATGTTTCTTTGCTTGGAGTGGTCTTTCTCCAAGTCTCTGCAGAGCTTATGTGTTCTCTTCTTTTAGATTTGGCTGAAATATTATTATACGATGCTACCCGATGAACGTATGTGCATGCGTGTGCGTGCGTGTGTGTGTCTGCACATGCATACATGGAGACTGGAGGTCAATCTTGGATGCTGATCCTCAGGAGCTGTTCACTTTGTTTTATGTGACAGAGATCTGGGGCTTTTTGTTTAGCCTAGGCAGTTTGGTTAGCAAGCCCCAAACATCTGCCTGTCTCCGTCTCCCGTCTCCAGGATTACCAGTGTATGCCACCATGCTGTTTTCCTTTGTATATGGTGCTCTGGATCAAACCCATGTTAAACACTCTACTGACTGAGCCATCTCCCTAACCCTGCGGTGAACTTTAAAAAAATGGGCAATCTCTGCCTACCCAAGCCCTCTTAAATTTCTGTGTTTTCTCTCCTTTAAATCTATGACATAAAAATATCTACTATGCTCATTTTCTTTTCCTTTTGTCTGTCTCTGACATTTCCCCCACTTCTCTTTTCTCTATGAGACATATTTTACAGTGTTAAATTAGTACCGTCTGTGTACTCTGTATTGACATGGCTCAATGTGTATTTATTCACGAATAAGTAACGAGTAAGAATAAACTCATGCTGCTTTTCTTTGTCCCATTATTAGTCAAGGTTCTCTAGGCCAGAGCCAATAGAACGAACATATATGAAAAGGCTATTTACTAGGTGGGCTTATACAATGTAGTCTAATAATCCAAAAATGGCTATTTCATATTGTGGAGGCCAAGAATTCAGTAGTTGCTCAGTCTTGTGAGCCTGAATGTGGCAGTTGTCCCAATATAGTGCTGAAGGCTTGGAGGATTTCTGAAAAGCTGCCGGCCTTTGGTCTGCCTTGGAAGTCGAAAGAAATCCACTGAAATGTCAGCAAAGGAGTCAGTAACAGCCATGGAATAGAGAAGCTGGCCAGCAAGAGAAGAAGCAAGCTGGTGAAAAGCAAGATTCCTTCTTCCATCTCCTTTTTATCTGGGCTGCCACTTAAGGCGCTTCCCACATTAAGGGTGAGTCTTTCCACTTCAAAGAACACCCAGAAAGTTTCTCACAGTTGTGCCCGGTGGCTGCTTCTCAGTTCATTCCAGATCCAGCCAAGTTGACGAGCAAGGTAATCATCACACCTGGACTGGCCTTGATCTTGACCGCCACAAGATCTTTCTTTCTTTCTTTCTTTTCTTTTCTTTTTTTCTTTTGAGACAGAGTCTCACTTTGTAGTCCTGGCTGACCTGGAGCTCACTCACAAAAACCCATCTGCATCTGCCTCCTGAGTGCTGGGTTCAAAGTCATGTGCCACCATAACCAATATCTTTTGATTTTTTTAAACACAAAACTGTGCTGGTTGGTTTTAGTTGTCAATTTGACACAGTCTAGAATTTCCTAAGAAGAAAGTGTCTGGGATTATTTAGATTAGGTTGGCTGTGGCGGGGTGAGGATAATTTTGAGTATGTTAATTGAGGTGGGAAGGTCAGCCCAGCCCACTGTCGGTAGTATCATTTCATAGGTAGGAGATCCTGAACTGTGTAAGAGTGAAGCAGTGGCTTTAGAGAGATTGCTCTGTGATACAGAGTGTTCTTGCAGAGGATCCAGGCTCATCATTCACCTACATGGTGGCTCTCCATCATCTGTAACTTCAGTCCCAGAGGACCCAAATTCTCTCTGAGTCCCTGGGCACCACATATGTGCTTGGTACACATACATGAATACAAGCAAAATTGCACACACACAGAATAAAAATAAATACACCTTTAAAAAAGAGTGATATTTATCAACTTTTTAGCCTATCTGTGTAGATCTTGTCTGCTGGACCTGGGATTTGAGGACCTGAAAGAACAGGACAGACCACACACAGTCAAATGCTGTGGACAACCTTACTTCAATTTCAGTATACTTTTATACATGAATGAAACAAAGAAAGCAATGACCTAAGGAAGGTTGTTTGAGTTCAGAAAACCATGTAAATAAATGTCAGTAAGCACACACTAGTTACCAATAGAGCAGCTCTTTCAGAATTTTCTCAGGACAGAGCAATTGAAATACACTTGCCTGGCATGTACTGTAGATTACATCCGGGAAAGCACAAAAGCAAGGCTGAAGGCGATATCCAAATTCAGGGCCCTCTGCCCAGATTGGGTTCTGTAGCTATGTTCTGACATCCAATAAGAATAAACATATTAAATGTCAGTCTTTGTCACGGGAGGTCTGAAATCATGTTCAAGAACAGTCTAGGGAAAAAAGGGCACCGGAGGTAAAAGGCCCCCGTTCCCCAAGGCATTGTTCACCACGGGTCGTCCTTCTGACCGTGTTCTGACAGAGATTAGCTGATCATGAGTATATTCACTACATTCTGTTCTTGTTAATGGATGTGAGATGACTGATTCCCTCAAGCACCCGCTGCTGTGACTTTTATGAGCTGGGACCTGGAACTGGGGATGTCACTGCAATAGGAATAAAACCAACACAAGCAATTACCACTTTTGATATGCGAGCTCTTACCTGTATGTGTGAATAAGTCTGCCTTGTGTTTTGAAATTGCAGCACATTTGTTAGTGTGTCTTTGCATCTGAAATAGCAGGTCCCCTGGCAAGGTTCGTGACCACCATCTTCCCTCTGTGCACATGCAAGGTCTTACAGCCCCAAAGGGCCAAGAGAGCCCTTGCAGAGAACTTGGGTGGCTCAGGAAGTGAGGATGCCTAGAAACTGTAATTCTGACTGTCCTGAAATGGTGATGTCATCGGGACACTGACATGGGGCGTGCTGCCTCCCAACCACAGTGCCTGTGCCTCTCGGGCTGTGAGACAGTCTTAGATTAAAAACCTACTTTTCCAATTTTGTGAATGTTTTAATGTTTATTAGAGTTTAATAATCATATAAACCTAAGGTTTTTGTGGGTCTTACTGTTTGGGAACTCTTTTAAGAAAAAATAGGAAACATGTTGGTTTAAAGAAAATAATATTTAAGCAGTAATGTAGGTGACACGTGCTGGATTGAGACCCTAAAGTTCTCAAGTCTTAATGCCTTGAATCCAGAAGGTTAAAGTAAGATAAAGATGAGGTCATTGTGGTGGGCACTCAACTCTTTGTGACCAGCGTCTTCTGAGAAGTGTTGACTACCACAGACACATTTAGAGGGGGCTCCGTAAAGACACGGGAAGAAGATGGAGGCAGTGAGAGGGGCCGCAAGCAATAAGTGCCTCTGTGACACTTTGATCATGAACTCGGAGGCTACAAGACTGCAGGACAGTAATTTTGTTGCAGAAGCCACAGACTGTGGCATTTTATTATGGGAACACCGTCAAACGAACACAACCGGGAAGTACAGCGGTCAAGCAGGTTGAAGTGGTACCCAAGGGAATGATAAAGACCTGGGCTTCACCCACCTCTCATCCCTTCCAGTTTCCAGATGCTAGGAAATGGAGTCTTGGCCTCCTTGCCATACAGACGACAGGCCACTAGGGTCTGTATCAGTGCACCTGGGAGGCAACTGTAGTCCTGAGGGTGGATCGTTGGCGATACTTTCCCGCCGGTTCAGACCTTTAAGAACCACAGGGTCGGCGTGGAGAAATGTATGTGTGGAGAAATGGAACCCTTGATTGGAGCAGTGACATCCACCACAGGAGGCCAGAGTCAGTCCCGCTCCCAGAGCTCACAGGCTATGCTCCGCCCTCAATAGCTGCACAGCTTCTTGAGCAGCTTGAAGGATGCTCCTCCCTTCTTTTCTCCCGCTCTCCTAGAACGCCGGTTCCCCAGGAAGGGGAGGAGTTCTTCCTGGCGCGGAGGCCACCGTCGCCACGGCAACGCTGCTTTACTGGGCCCAACGGATTACGCGGCCTGGGGCTGCAGGCGGCCGCGTGGCCTGAGGGGGCAGCGCCAGCAGCATGGACAGCTTGTACGTGGAGGAGGTGGCCGCCTCCCTGGTCAGGGAGTTTCTTAGCAGAAAGGTAATGGCTGGGTACTCCGAAGCCCCGGAGGTCTCTCTAATGGTGTGGGGCAGCCTGGGGTTTCCGGCAGTACCTTTGCACCTTCGGGGGTGGGGGAAGCATTCCACCCCTTCTGTTCGCCTCAGATTTCCCCAAGAGCGCCCCTTTCCCGGGATAAGGAAACTACATTTCCCAGAAGCCAGTCCTTCCTAGTCCGAGGCCACTTCCACAAAGGCAAACTGGCCTTTGGTCTGCTGCCCTCCCTTGGCACCACTGTCACGGCAGTGCCAGGTTGGCAAAGATGTCCGGGACAGAGCAAGTTCTCCCAACCTGGGTCATAGGGCATGTCTCTAGGAAAGAGCTTCCCAAAGGAAAGTTCTGGACAGTCAGTCTTCTGTTCATTTTAATAAAGAGTGGAAATTCCAGCAGCGGCATGAGCTTTTGTAGAAGAATTATGTAAATCCTCTTATGCCTCGTCCCAGAAGAGTTTTCAGAGTGTTTATAAGTTAGGAGCATCTTGGGCACCCCGTGGGGTCTAGGAGAGGAGGGTGCTTCCTGGGCGCCAGGAGTCAGGCATTGGTTTGTATTTTACATGAAGTGACTGGGGACCATGCACTAAGGGATCTGTGTTTCCAGGTGATGTCATATTCGGCTGGTCCAAAGGTCACTTATTTGAGATGGAAGCACACACACACACACACACACACAGACACAGACACACACACACACACACACACACACACACACCACGTTTGAATGGAACAAAGGGGATTTGATGGTGGAAGTTTAGATATATGTTACTCGTTTGCAGTGCATGTTTGACCTTACTACCTCATCTCTATGAACAGGATTTTTGCAATTCCACTCATGTGTAACGTATAGTGAGGATTAGTGATAGACAGGCAGCACCCATGCATTACCTCTGATACTTGTATACAACCTGCACATGGATATTCAACTTTATACTTGCTTCCCCAGCTCTGATTGAATCTGTTTTAAAATGCTTGTGTGCTTTTATTATGATTTATGCTTATTTTGAAAAATTATGATGCACCTGGCTTCATAGTGTCTGCTTTGATCTTCTATCCCTGAGTCTTGGTTAGGGTTGGATCACCAGTGACACGTGCTCAGAGGCTGATCACTGAGGCTAAGTCTAGGCTCTGGATGGAGGGGTGTCACAGAAGCCGTCATTTCTTGAGTGTGGTCCGGAGCCCTCACTCAGATCCCGGGATCCCACTGCTTGGCCCCAGCTTACGTTCCCAATCTTGCTTCTAGTTCCTTCCTGTTTCCCTTGATCTGTTCTGTCCTGTGACAAGGTCTGTTTCACTCCCATGATCAGAATTGATCAGGATTGGTCCTGGACTCACCTTGTGTTACAGCTGTCACACCTGCTTGTCCTACGTCCTAGACAGGGTCAACCATCTACCTGCCTGACCTCCTCTTCTTCCCACTGCTTTATCTAAAAGAGGTATCTTTATTTACTATGATGGATAGCTTTATGCCAACTTGACATAAGCTAAAGTCATCTGAAAGGAGGGAACCTCAATTAAGAAAATGCCTCTATAAGATCAGGCTGTATGCAAGCCTGTAGGACATTTTCTTAATTAATGATTGATGGGGAGGGCCCAGCCCATTATGGGTATGGCCGTCCCTGGGCTGATGATCCTGGGTTCTATAAGAAAGCAGCTGAGCAAGCTATGGAGAGTAAGCAGCACCCTTCCATGGCCTCTGCATGGAAACTCCTGCCTCCATGTTCCTGCCCTGTTTGAGTTCCTATCCCAACTTCCATCAGTGGTGAACAGTGAACAGAAGTGGAAGCCAAACGAACTGTCCCACCCAAGTTGGTTTGGTCATAGTGTTGATCACGACACTAGAAACTCAAACTAAGATATTCATCAAATCACAGAGAGCCAAAGCATGTGTTTTGGTGGTGGTTGGGGTGGTTCTGAGACAGGGTCATGTTTACGTTGCCCAGGCTCTTTCTAAGCTCTCTCTGTAGCCCAGGCTGTATTCAGACTCTTGGTTCTCCTGCCTCTGCCTTCTGTATTTGGATTACAAGTCCCACCACCATGTCCAGTCGCAATTACTTTCCCATTGCTTCTGCTCTGGGGGTTGCTTCTGGGCCTGCCTCCTCCTTCACACAGCCACCTTTTCTCCAACACACGCGTGTTTGTTTCTCTCTGTGCTATTCCTTAAGACCCCATTCACTCTCCCTGGTTCAACACTGTGTGCCTATCTTTTTTTCCCCCCAGATTCACTTTTCATCAAAACTCATGGCAGACAGTGAGTTTGGTTTTGCTTTCCAGCGGTTGGAGCCATGATAAAGTTCTGAGGGCAAAGGCTGAGGGAAAAAGTTGAGGCCTACCTAGCTAGCATTTGGAGTCAGGGATCCATCAGGAGCAAGGGCTATCTCTGGCCCTGAAGGAAGGGGTTGAGACATCTCCTGCAGGCATTGGGTGGTCTTAGTGTTCTGTGTGGGAGGAAGCAGCTGTCTGGCTGTTTTCAGATGGGGATGTCAAGCTCCTGGGGATGCAGGATTCCCTGTTTATTGTTGCTAGACCTTAGTCTTTGGGTGTTTAAGGTGGGTGATGGGTGGTGGTTTGCTGGTGACTTGGCAGTTATCCATGAGTTGCTCTGTAGGGGACAGGGTGCCAGTCGGGCTTCCTGGCTAGACCAGTGTGGATCATGTGACTTCAAACATGTCTCCTGGCTTCCTCAGCTGAGAAGTCAAGGGAACAATTGTTGGCCTTTTGACTGTGTTTTGTTTCAAACTTCCGTTTATTTTTAAAGGTTTGTCTTTCATGGCCCCACGTCTAGGCCAGACACAGAGCCCCCGAGCTGGCTTTCAGCAAGCTAGTTACCTGGTTTTATTGTTATTTATAAAATAAGTGCACAACCCCAGCTTTAGCTGACCCCAAGTCAAACTGACAGAGCTATCAAGCCCATTGGCGTCATGAAAATGAATTCTGAAGTCAGCTTTGTGGCTCTGCCATGGCCATACAAGGAAGGCAGATGAGCCCAATCCTAATGAGTCCCAGCAGTTTTCTGTTTACCGTGCGTCAGAGAAGGGAAGGTTTTCATTTCAGATGGCCCACAGTGACTCAGACTTCTTCCCTCAGGGGTTGAAGAAGACGTTCGTGACCATGGACCAGGAGCGCCCCCGCTGTGAGCTCAGCATCAACAGCAGAAATGATCTCCGCAAAGTTCTCCACCTGGAGTTTCTCTACAGGGAGAACAAGGTGCGTGTCTTTTGAGGTGCGAGCCGGCTGGTGTGCTTGCACCGGGGCCTGGCAGCTGTGGCAGGAGGTTCGGGGACTGGCCAAGATGACAACTTTCAGAGTGAACTAGGTTCACCCTACCAGGCCTTAGCGTCCCCTGGCGGGTCGGAGGTCACCGAGTCTGTGCCTGAGAAGCTGTTCTCTGTGTGTCCCTTTCCCTCCTTTCCCTACACAGGGGTAGTTTTAGTAAGATTGCTTAAGGATATGTTATGCAGATATACATACATACATATGTATGTATGTATATACATTCATATATATATATGAATGATTTCCCTTCTGTCGCTGTAAGTCTCTTGTGACTGTGACTTAGGTCAGCAGAAGTGAAAGCTAGGTTTAGCACACCCAGGGGTGTGGGAGTTGAGACAGCCAAGGGGACATGTATGGAAGGTCCCCTGGCCCCTAGACCCCCTACCCCACCTGCTGTTGTCACAGTGCCCTGGAGGCTTCTCCCATGCCCTCTATTTGAAGTAGAACATTTTGTTTCAGTAGTGTCTGCCTCCCTCATGCCCATGGACTTAGTCGACGGGCAGAGACTGTGTGTCTGTTTCATGTTGTGTCCCCATATTTAATGTGTTATCTTATGACTCATTGACGAATCCATATGTATCTGTGTGATACGTGAGCAAGAGGTTAGAAGACGGAACCCATGAAGGCAGAAGCTATAATCCAGACTTAATTTTTCTTCCTGTTAGAAGAGTCCTCTCCAGCAAATGTTGCTTCATGCCTGGGCATGACAGACCTAATAGTTGGAGAGAGAAACTGGTGAATAGTCACCTCATTCTGTGTTTGTCGTACTTTAAAAAGAAAGCCGACAAGTGCCATCTCATGGGGAAGTCTGACAGTGAGCATAAGGGAAGCCATGCTATGTTGAGTAAGGGGAGAATGTTCTGCCGGCTTCCGGGTCCACTTCTCTGGGCACAGGACCAAAGCTCTGAACCCACTGGTATGATGGGAATTTGCCCTTTGAGGAGTGCTGTGGGCCAAAGAGGCTGCTTGATATCTGACAGTCATTTATGGACTAAGATAGAGATCTTTTTTCTTTTTTTGTTTTCTGAGACACAATCTTATTCTGTAGCTAAGGCTGGGCCCAAACTTATTATGCAACTTAGCTAGCCTTAAACCATGGCAATTCTTCTTCAGCCTTCTGAGCACTGGAATTACAAGTGTGTGTGCTACCAGGCCCAACACTGGGCTAGAGATTGATTTTCCAAAGAAGACTTGGGTTTGGGGAGATGGCTTGGTGGTAAGAGTCTAAGTCTCCAGCAACCACATTAGTGGTGTGGTGTGGCTATGCATTCCTCTCTCATCAGCACTAGGGAGCAGAGACGGGGGGATCCTAGGAATTTGCTGGCCAGCCAGCTTCCCATGCAGTGAGATACCTTATCTCCAGGCAATAAGGCAGACAATAATAAAGGATGGTACCTGACACCCCTCTCTGACCTCCTCGTGCCTGTGAACTGCCATGCACACCTGTACACTTATGTGCATGTATCTCACATACACACACACACACACACACACACACACACACACACACACCACCACCACCACCTCCCACACATAAAAATAAAATGAAATGAAATCCTAACTGACTGAATGGGCATATAGGAATGAAAACAAGACTGTTTGGGATACCCAGAGAAATCTCCAGATCCCTTGACAACTCACTGATTGTGTATCGTGTGGCAGAGAGGACCTTGGGTCAGCTTGCTCTGTGTAAGTGCCAGATGGGGTTCCAGGCAGGTCTGCAGACCCTAGCCGCTGGCCATCAGCTTAGGCCCTGGCAGCCAAGTGAGGCCGGCCAGAGACCGACACATCCCAAAGGACCTTTGTCCTCTTGTCCTCTGTGCATGTGTGTGTGCAGTCTTGGATCCGGGGCACGCTGACTTAGTAGCTCTCTACCCTTCCGCTGCTGAGATGTTCATGGTAGGGAGATGTTTCACAGGGACCGGGACCTTCGCCCAGAAAATCCAAAGGACCGTATTGGTCCCCTGGGATTTTATGTAAAACCACTTGCACCTAATTTCTCAGAAGTATTTTTATGTTTTTACCATACTGTAGTTTCTCTACAGTAACGATTAGCTTCAAAACTTAAGGCTTCATCAGACCTGGCTAAATCTCTGACTGTTTGACATAAGCAGTAGTTTTTAGCCATGATAGAATGAATTGGAGTCTCTGTTTTAAAGACAAGGCTGCTTATTAGTCGTCCGTTTTGAGATCCACGGAGCCCAGAACTCACCTGACCCCAGGAAAAGCTACAGTTCAGTATGAGTATTCCCAGGACCTTGTTTTTCCTGACAGTTAAGTGATGAATTAGAAAACCCATGTAAGACGGAGGTCTGGGGAAATGGTATTAGCTTCACCGTGAGGCGGTGTGTTCCCTTTGAGCTTTATGATGTAAGGACTTACAAAAGCGTAACGTGGGCAGCCAAGTAGCCCAGAGTGCCTCACTGAGAGAAAAGGCAAGCTGTTTGAAACAAATTTCATATGTTTTCTTCAATTTGCTTCATTGTAATCTTAATTTAGACCAAGACAAATAAAATTTTTAGTCTTATAAAAACCAAGTAAATAAACCCATTATTCCCAACTTTAACTATCTGGCAAGGCTGTTGAACTCAGTTTTGTCCACTGGTCATGAATCTTGGCCAGAGAGGAATAACGGGATGGCCTTGGCCTAGGCTGAGGGCTCCACACCAGGCCCTTCATCGAACACTTGGCTGCTCCGACTTGGCATACACGGCGTGCAGGCCCATGTCTGGCTACAACTTAGTAGGACCGGGTGCTCCCAGCTCAGCTTTTGAAGTGGGACTGACGCATGCCAGATTCTTGAAGCCAACCTGTGGGTCACAGCTCCGACAACTAGGTGACTATTCAGATTGTTTGGGGGAAGAGGTTTAGAAGAAATTAAAGCTCTTATTCTTGCTGTTTGGGTTTAGTAAGTCTCAGTTGGTCTTGTATTTTTTTTTTAAAAGGCTGGAAAACACTGATATCATTTATTTTAAAAACAATTGTTTGCAGAGTTTCTTCACATTTATATATATATTTTAATCTTTGGGGTATAACCTGAGTCAGTCCCAGACGACTCTGCTTTTCATTTTCAGCTCTGGCTCCAGGTTCTGCAGTCACTAGTGGTCAGTGTTAAGCAGGGATCATCCACTGTGTTAGTTACCTTGGTCTTTGCCATGTCAAAATACCTGGCAGAAATGACTTAAAGGATGAAACATTTACTTGGGATCATGATTTTCGATACTGTGGTCCATCATGATGGGTAAGATATGGTGGCTAGAATGTGATTTGGCTTATAACATGATGTATATCAGTGAGGCTGGAATCGGGCAGGTATGACCTTCAAAATCCTGCCCCTTTTCATCTATTTCTGCCAGCCAGGCCCCGTCTACTAAAGGCTCTACAGACTTGAAAATAGTGCCACAAGCTGGTGACTAAGAACCCAGAGCATGACCCTGTGGGGGACATCCCAGATTCAAGTCATAACACCCACTACTAATTGTTCAGGCCTCAGCTGCTCCTTGGCTCTGTAGAGGCCAGAGAGATGGCATAAGGAGAGAAGTGACTGCTCTAAGTGGTCTTCTGATCTCTGCACACGTGCACTGGCACCCCCTGCCCTAGAAATGAAGTGGATTACAGAATTAAATTGTATTTTCTTAATGAAAGGATATATCTTTTCTAGTTGTTTCTATAGGGAAAGAATGCAAAAGGAAATTAGCTTTGGACAGCCCTATGTTCATGTCACAATGCACAAGACATTGGTTCTTTTAGAGTAGATTTTGTCTTTGTCTCTGCATCCCTACCCAGTACAGTGCCTGGCATACAAATGAGGAAGTGTGTGTTTGCTGGAAGTGTATAGTATGATGGGAACGCTGGTGACCTGGGTCAAAGAATCGGGATGGTCATCTTTTCACCCTTCTCTTAACGCTGTGCGTTCACTTAATGATATTTTTTCCTTCCCAATGACAGGCAAAGGAAAAGCCTCTAAAAACAAACCTCGAGCTCATTACCAGATACTTTCTGGACCATTCTGGGAGCACAGACAACTTAAACCAAGAAGCCCCGATCCCCGCACTCCCGGTTCCAAAGAAAAATAATAAATTGTCTTCGAGGTGCTCAGAGACCACACTGGTGAATATATACGATCTTTCAGATGAAGACACAGGAAGACGAATGTCCTGGTCAGAAGCAGGCAAAGCCAGGTACCCACCTCTTCCTCCACCTCTTCACTCTGCCTAGCAGCTTGCAATGCTGCTGTAACAAATCACAGTGACAGTGAGTGTTCTCCAGGAATCAGAACCATGTCAGCCTTCCCTAATGTCAGCTGGGTCTCAGTGTCAGTCAGCATTTACACACTACCTTCACAGCAGCACCCAGTCTGCTCTCAGACACAACCTATACATCCATTTTGACCCCCTTTCTTCTCCTCAGACCATGGGATGATCCTGCCTACACCAGGGTGGGTCTTTTCCTATTTAATTAAACCTTTCTGGGAATGCTCTCAGGATGCACCCAAAGGTGTGCCTCACCAATCTTCCAGGGGGTTCTGAGTCCAGTCGTGTTGACAGTGTGGGTTAATCATCGCAGATCTCATAGTTAGGGCTTCTAGGGATCTGAACATGCACAACTTTGGGTGTTGCTGTTCAGTTTACCCCATTGTATGTTTTGGGGTCTCTTTCACAGAGTCGTGTTAGTTTCTTCAAAAGGCCATGAGAGTGAACCATTTTTGTGACGGTGTTTATGTAGGATTCCAAAGGTAGACTTTATATTCCATGATTCCTAAGGTTCAGAGATGTGCTTTGATTTTCTTCGAAATGGGTGTATGGTATTATAATTGAGCCTGCATTTTTTGGAGAACAGTTTTACCAGTCTGCAACTATCCTATGGTACACGTGGTCTCCAATGGTATGTGTAACTTATATGATCCTGTACTGTGTGAAGTTACCAATAGTGGGGTTAGCTTCTGGGGAATGGGTCTTTTCTTCCACATGGCGGAAAAGCATTTCTTTCTGGTAGTTGGGAATCAGCTCAGTGCATGAATGTCAGGCCGAGAAAGGGTAAGACCACCATAGGAAAGTAACCTGAGGCTTTAAACATGAAAGATCAGGAGGGAGGTAAAAAGGTGGCCCCTCTTGCAAAGGCATTTGCTGCCTGGTTGGGAAAGTCAGTATTTCTGAGACAATGAGCAAACCAACAGTGTGGTAGCTGAAGCCTCCAAGTCCCGATCCTACCGTTTTCCCAAGCCTGATGCACCTCGGCATCCTTTCCTTCCCCTTGTCTCTTTCTCTTTCTTGTATCCTGTCAGCTCCTGGTTCCTAGTGATATTAAATGCTTCTGCCCTTCCTGACCAGATGACAAAGGCTCCTTGTTCACATGTCCATCCCTTGGGTAACTCTTATGAGTGCTGTCGTGGGCGTAATGTGGAGGTCAACACATCCACAGATTCTGCCCTGACTTGGATAGTGTGAGCATTCCATAGTCCACATTGGCACAGGTCATTCCTTGCTTGAAGGCCACAAGACACTCCCTGTAACTTTTAGGAGAAATCCCAGGTACCGTAGAATAACTTTGCGAGTCTGTGCCAGCCTAGCCCCCACTGCTCACTGGATCTAGCTCCTTCCCAGACCTGTGTGCTGAGCTTCAGGAATTCTCTGGGCGCTCTCTTCAGCTTCTCCCAGCCCTTCTTGGCCTTGTCCTCTGCCTCATATTCCCCAACAGTGACACAATGACTGCTGCATTCATGTGTGACCCAAGGGTTGCTGGGAGGTGCCACAGTGTTGGTGCCAGTGCCATGTATACTAGGGACCAGGAGAAGAAATCTGAGATCAGGGGATGCAGGCCTCTGAGCAGCCCAGGCAAAGCTCTCCTTTACCTCAGTCCTGTTCTTTTTCCCTTCTTGCTTTTTTCTTCTTTTGAGATTCAAGATCTGGTCATTTCTTTGATACTATTTTTTTTTTTTTGAGATGAGGTTTCTCTGTGTAACAGACTGTCCTGGAACTCTGTCTGTAGAGTAGACTGGCTTTGAACCCACTCAGATCCGCCGGCCTCTACTTCCTGAGTGCTGGGATTAAAGGTGTGCACCACCACCGCTTGACTGTTGCTCATAAAGACTTACTCTTGACTCGACTCAGACTTCAAAGTAGGAGCTCTCAGTGAGAACAGCCTCCGTCTCTTGACAATCTGTTCCTGGCCTTTTCCCTGGCTTCTTTCATTCTCCTGGCCCCAAGTTTAGCATATTCTGTACTCTCGCCGTTTTTCTTAGCGTGCTGTTTCTTCAGAGCGATGTGTTGGCATCTGTGTTGCAGGGCATGCGGAGTGCTGAATCTTGGGTGCTTTGGTCCTGAGCTTCTTACTTCATGTAAGGGCTTTCTGACCACACAGTACAGAAGTCATCTTCTGTAGAGAAGCTGGAGAGCTTTAGGATTCTGCGAGCTTCCAGGGCCCCAACTGCTGAGCACTGTAGAAGCTGTCCAGGGACCATCATCGTCATCTCCCCCAAACCCCTTCTTTTTCAATACCCAAATTAAGAACACTCAGCTTGGCGTCAACATGCATCCCTGAACAGACTTGAGCTTCCTGTCTCCAGATCTCGGTCTGCTTCAAGAACGCCCTTTCTCCACAACAGGTCCATTCTGCGTTGGGTCAAGACATGTTGCTTCATGGGAAACCCTTGTTTGTCATTCCCACAGTTTGGACAGTGTAACCCTTCCACTCTTTACCTGGAGCGTTAGCACCAGTGTGTGTGGCCGTGTGCTTCTCATGGAAAGCACGAGGCTTGTCTTCATCGTCTACTTCAGTGAGTTTCTGACAGCCAGTTATTGGGAAGGTTGTACTCAGCTTCATCTCGACATGGCTGACCACCTAGGAGGCACCACAAAAAGAGAGCACTTCTTGCTTCTTTTTATTGTTTCTAACTTTTTTCTTTTGCTTCCTCCCTGCCCCGTCTTGCACACACACCACTGCACACACACACACACACACACACACACCTGTGCAGCTTTACTGAACACCTGAAAATGTCAAGTCTGCCCAGGTGTGCTCCCTGTACCGCAAGGTCAAGTTCCATATGCCCAGCGCTGCACTGCAGGTTCCTCCTTTATCGTTTGAATCTGCAGGGTCCAAGATGCTCTTCAGCTGTCAGCCACTAGGACTTAGGGTTCCTTCGGGGATCATTGTCTCTGACTTTTCTTGTACTTTGTTGCCCTTGCCCTGATACCAAAGAGGTGCTTTCTATTTTCTACTTCTACTGACAGGGCCTTGGCTCATTTCCAATGATATATTTATGAATGATGGTTAACTATGGGATTTATTAGTATAATTCATTTGGAGGCTCTGTTTTAATGGAAATATTATGTTTTTGCAGGCATGACAATCATGATGGGGACATACTTGGTAATTTCATATCACCCAAAAAAAGCCCACACAAAAGTAAGCCTGCATACACGGTCCTGGGTGACAGCCTCCCTTTGGTTTCTGCGTGGGAGAAGGTGGAGCAGCTTCACTCATCAGAGCCTGGCACAGATGTGAAGAAGTCAGCGGAGAGGACCAGGCCAAAGTCTGGCCTGATCGTCCGAGGCATGATGGCCGGACCTGTTGCCAGCTCCCCGCAGGTGGGACTGCCACCCTTTCTGTTTCCTGTAGACCAGGGAGTGAGAGATGGGCTTCAGGCACTGCTGGCTGAGAAAGGGATGCCTGTGGGGTCTTCCTCCTTCCTGGCGGAGTCTCAGCAGGCTTCATTGATTCCTTGCCCTCAGTTTACCTACCTGAGTTAATGAAATGCATGCTTTGATCTCATCTCCTCTTACTGCTAGCGAAGATATACCATTCCCGGCTTTGTCTTTGCCTTCCTAGAGTAGGGTAACTCCCCTAGTCTAGAGAATATCATTGCTTACCACTGTGGTTAAAGAAGAGTAGAAATCCTGGTCCTAAAGCTAGCTTCTTTTCTTTCTTTCTTTCTTCCTTCCTTCCTTCCTTCCTTCCTTCCTTCCTTCCTTCCTTCCTTC